TTTTTAAACCCCACTACAGTGACATGGAAATTCATGTTTCAGTGTTTGCCAAATGTGTGTGACAATTTGGAGAACGAAAAAGAAGATATTTTAATGAGAAATACTTTGGGAATCACACAGATTAGACAGATTGGGGGTCTGGGGGTTGGTCACTTCAATTACCTGCCTGCTCAGGTATGCCTGCCCTACAACAGGCTGCACATACTGTATATATAGTATTAATCATATTAGTGGTTCAGATAAAATCTGTCTTTTGATGCTCCTAAAATCTCTAAAACACATGACTTTGGATTGCTGATTGGCAATTTTTATAGCAATTTCCTAATGGTAAATCTCACTTTTCCATGGAGTTCTTTATCATGCCTAACTGTGCTTTACCACAGTCTGACCAGGCTTGACAAGGATTTCACTTGCCCATGTGAGAAATAACTGCACATTCAACTTCACTTCACCAAGGGTGACTAAGGAATCACAGAAGAACAGCACTTCCCACTGATGCCCTGCTAATTTCATTTCCACTCCGAACAGCAAAGTCAATCTCCATCTTGATGCTGTTGTTATTTTCAGATCTGTTGGCTGAGACCCTGAAGATATTCATCTGAATGCAAGGAGAAGCAGAAAAGATAGCAGCAGACAAAGCCGAGGAAATGCATAGAGGTCAAGTCAAAACACTGAGCTCAAGTGACGCGCAAACAACGTTGAATGACTTGCAGTTCTGGAACGAGAAAACATCCTTTGGCAGAACCGACCAGTGGGCACAGCACAGAAGCACAGACCTGAGAGCAGCTCAAAGACGACTCTGCAATTGGACCAGTACCACTAAGGACCAGAGTCTTTTACACTTGCCGGAAACAAGGGTGACAAATTAACCAGCAAATATTTTCTGTCCCTGCAGTCACCTTTTTCAGTTTAGTTTCAAGGAAACACCAAAACAATAAACACAGGACAGCAGTAGCAACATCAACAAAGTTATTTTTTACACATACCTCTGAGTACAGAAAGAATAATTGTTTTTGAGCCCTGACTGAAGAAGCTGTGGGTGGGAGGGTTAAGTATTAGTTTTTGCACCAGCGTTAAGGATCTTTTTACAAAGTTTCTTTTTTTCATATTATTTGAGTTTGTTTGCTTTCGGCCTCCTGTGCTGGTACTGTGTGTATTTGTTGTAGGATTGTCAATGATGCATTTCAAAAACATTATGCATTATATCCATCTCAAAGTTATCTCAAGTTATCTCAACCACCTAGTATTTTAGTATCTGAACTCAAATTAATTTGAACACCTTTTCTGCTGTTCCATCATAAACTCAAGGATATGTAAAATCAGAAATGTAAGATTTTCCTTGTTATGTGTAACTGAGGTTTGCTGCATTGCTTTATAATTGCAGTTATAGCATCCTTATGGTACATAATATATCAACATTATATTGTCACTGCTGAATATTATGAGCTAAATTTGTTAATTTCACAGTGCATCAAACCTTTGATGCTTTATAGTGAAACTACTCATTTGTTTTATTGAAATGAAGCCTAATTCTGTGGGTTGCAATTTATACAATGAGTTTATGTGACCTTTTTTTCTTTTCCTTTCGGTAAATTACCACTGCCAAAGACTACTCATTGAGAGTAAACGCCATAGGTTAAAAGGTGACCTGCTTCAGTGGAGCCTAAGAAAAATTTAAAAAATCACTTGGGTTAAAATGATAGAGGAAGAACGCTTTGATTGCCTGGGGACAAGCAGCGAGTATGTACATCCCTCAATGCGAAATCAGAGCTAGCAGAAAAGAGCTTAATCAAGGCAATAATGGGTCACTTGACAATCACACAAGCACTTCTTACTAGAAAATCCTTCCACTTACTGCTGATTGCTGGAGCTGTTCTCCTCCTTCACCACACACTGCCTCCCACCCCCCCCTTCCAGTTCTGAGGCAAGCAATAATTGTGAAAAGAATTCATAACCAAAATGTCGATTTCTTTAAACTTAATTCTTATTTCAAGATTTTTATTAGCTGTGTTCTACACATTCTACAATTAATACTCAACCACTGTATACAGGAAAAGGGAAACGGTTTTTAATGTCATGTCTGTCTGTATCTTGTCTGTGGAAAAATAAACATTTAACTTGAATATGATAGTGATTAGACATTCCTGCAGATAAACACTTGAATGATAATCTCATGCGGCGAAAATAAAAAATATTCATGCGACTCTCGGGACTAAACAGACAAAGAGGGAAGAGAATCCACAAAATAATTTAATGTTCATGCTTTTTGCATTCTCACATTTTAACTTACACTTTCCAATTTTAATTTGTATCGTCTTCAAAAACATCATTTTCTTTTCTCCCGCCTAACTTTTGATGTAAAAATGTTAACAGACACAAATCACTACCACCTACTCATCTAACGCTCTTCATTTAGTAACTGCTGACATGTTCGTTGGATCTTTACAATAGATGCCACAAATTAATTTGTCTCAAACTACTGTAAATTACACCACTTTAAATGCCTGGAGCTATTTTAACACATTAATGAAAAGGTGACTCCTGCTGCTCTCCTTCCACTTAAAACACCTATATAAAATCCTTCAGTCATAATATCTTGCAGAGTCCTCTCTGCAGTCTTTTAAATCCATGAATATTTAAAAGAAAATGCATTCTTTGCCACACATGATAGTGCATATCTCTGTGTAAAGAAGGATTATTCATTTAGCTTGTAAGTCAATAAATCAATAAGGATTTAGACCATAAAGCTGTCATTTCTCAAGGTACTATATATAAATAAAAAATGAAAAACCCAATGTACAGTGCCACCTCTTTTTCAGTTCTGTATATAGTTCCAACGCAACACTGAAAAGGCTCTTGACAGACAAAGCCTTGCATATGAGCAGTTACAACACATTGATCTTTTCAAATACTATTCAGCCGATTAAAAAAAAATACTAGCTGCGTTCTCAGAGACTGCTCAGATCTTATTTCAAGATTAAGAACAGGATTAATTTTACTACAAAAAAAATGAGTTCAGCAAAGTCCAGGATAAGTACAAATTATAACAAAGAAAAAAACAGAGCAAGCATAGAAAATACTGCTGTACAATCCTGTATGCACAGTCAAGTGGCAAGGGAGAGATTGTACTCTAATTTAGCAGCTATTGAAATTGATGAGAAAAATCTAACATTTCAAAAAGCAAATGGTTGCAAAAAACTGTTTTGCATGCTTACAGGAAAAAGCTTTAACGTTCACATATTTATCACTCACCTAAGACATGAGCCATCCGACTAGCTGTTGTTTTTTATTCTTTAATTATTTTAGGTTAAAATATCCTTGAAATAATGGAAAAAGGAAAGTAAATTCATCTTTCCTAGGAAAGCTAGCAACAGGTCTGTTCCTCAGTCAAAATATTGTGTAGTAAATGAAAAAAGATTTATTAAAACACTAAAACTTAACTTATAAAAAACGTGATGGAGTTGGCCACAGTTAACGATAAAACGCAATCGAAAAAAAATCAACATATACTTTAAAATCAAGTCCCTGCAAAAAAAATTTTTTTTTGCAAAAATAATCCCAAATAAAAGGATTTATCATGACTCAATAGTAGACATGCAAGTCCTTTGGAAGAATAGCTACTCCACCTACTGGTCCTTTAAAGCATTACGCAGTTTTCTTTAAAATTATTTTAAAGAAAACAAATGTTGGCAAAAAATGGCAGTTGATTTAAACACTTCAATTTAGATGGGAAAAATGTCTTCCTGTTAACACCCTGGGGTACCCAGAAGCACTAAACCCAATCATATTACTGTTCTACACCCACGATCACAAATGTTTAACAGGATTAAGATCACAAATACAATATTTACACTAATGCCTAATGAAGAAAATGTGCACTGCTGAATTTTAATGGACCATCAACTGTGAAATTGTGTGGGAAAATCGGCACTGGCGATACATGATAGACTGAGAGTGCAGTGCATGATGTAAGGTTTGGAATCTGTATTAATTGACAAAAATGTAAAACATCACATCCGAAATTACGAAAGCGCGGTAAACTAATTCATGAATCACACTTATGCCCCTAATGAGCCATACTGAACTCATCAGATTTTGATTTTGAAGCAAATGTGCCTGAAACCGCATGCTTTTTCTTTGTAGCATTTGGTTTGCAGCTCAACACAAAGAGGTTTGTCAAAGATGGATAACACTGACTTTCAGTCCATTTGAACCATAATGAAGGCCCATACATCATCTTTGCTGGCAAAGAAAAAAGCAATTTAGTACCCAGAGGTTCTAAGAGTCAAAACCTGAGATGAAACAGATCTGCAGCTGTATGAATACAGAAATCAGTTTATAATCAAGAGAGAACATGGAATACACTCAGCACATTTCTATAATAATTCCTTACACTTATATAGCGCCTTTCTGGACACTCCACTCAAAGTGGTTTACAGGTCATGGGGACTCCCCTCCACCACCACCTATGTGCAGCCCCACCTGGATGATGCGCCAGTATGCTCCCCACACACCAGCTCTCAGTGGGGAGGAGAACAGTGATGAAGCCTGTTCAAAGAGAGGGATTATTAGGAGGCCATGACTGGTAAAGGCCATGGGGAAATTTGGCCACCCCTACTTTGTACTTTGTACTTTGGTACTCTTTGGTAACACCCCTGCTCTCTTCGAGAAATGCCCTGGGATTTTTTAACGACCACTGAGAGTCAGGACCTCAGTTTTACATCTCATCCAAAGGACGGTGCCTTTTACTGCAGTCTAGTGTCAACATCACTATAAAGGGGCATTAGGACCCACACAGACCGCAGGGTGAGCACCCCCTACTGGTCTACACACATAGAGGTAAGCAATTTAAAGACACCATCTAACCTGGGCATTGAGTACTTGGGTTGTGGGAGGAAAATGACACACCCAGAAATCCATAAGAAAACGCAAACACCACAGCAATGCTTCACCGGATAAAAAAACTGATTTCTTAAGGCAAAACTCACTGAAAACAGGAATAATTTCTGTCTCTTATTTGTTGCAATCAGGGGAAAATAATTTTATTTCTTACAGGTCCAATACAGCAATAAATTAAGGCTATTAAAATCAAAGGGTTCTGTTTCAGTGTTTGTTTAGCAATGGTAAATAACTTCCAGCAAATGAAATGTCCTTTGCATGAGAGCCCTACCTAATATTTTCTCCCCGACTGTCCAAATAATTGACCTAAGAAGGAGGTCAAAGTCCACCCTGCATTCAACAGGATTTAAGCCTTTTGACCCAAAACTCCCCAAAAGACAAGGCTCAATGCTTCTTGTGAATCAGTTTGAGCATTTTCTTAGCAGAGACCAAATGACAGGCCAAAAACAAAATGTCTACATGAACAAATGTAGTCCATCCTCCAGCCCATTGTCCCCATTAAGCAGGATCACATCCTCCAGATCCTGGGCAGTGGCTTCTCTTGAACATTCCTGTGCCGACTTCTTTTTTCTGGTGCTCACAGATTTGTCCTGAGTGAGACCTGTGCTCCGGTCAGCAGAACTGTCTGCTCTCACAGCAGACTGCAGGGAGCTGTAAAACCTGCGGATAAAACAAGGGCACTGTGTGTTTACTTACAGAGGCTGACAAAACTCCCTTTCTGACCTGCAAGACTGGCAGGGTTTTAAGTCGCACTGGGAAAACCAGGGGACCCAGAGAAAACCCACTTGAACATGGGGAGAACATACAAACTCCACACAGATACATAATTATTACACTTTTACTATACATGGAAGGACTAACTTAAGTAAATACCCCAGAACTCCTATTCATCTGAAACCCAGTTACAGCATTATAAGAAGCAAAGTGATGCTGAACTGCAGGTGACCAACCTTTCAATTCTTCTCTGGTTTTCCTCCATTTTCTGATTGGCTACCTCAACCAAGAAGTCAAGGTACTCTTCCTTCACTAGGGTCTGTCCCTTACGGCTCAGGGGGACTTCGAGGCCATGTGTGCTGCGAACAGCCTAAATGTCACAGGAAGAGATTTTAGAGAGAAGTACAAAAGAAAACATCCTACTTCACACTTGAAATATTTCACAACAAATTAGAGTCACAGGTTAATACTTTCAGGGAGCTTGGCTTGTTCTTTCTCATTAATATGCAAAACAAACCTCAGGAACCTATAAGCTTATAACCAGAAAGCTTTAACTTAGAGGACTTTCACACTTCTTTAACATTATTAACAATGGCACTGCATCTCAGGAACATTTTACTTTGTACATGTGTAACTTTCAAAAGCTATACAAAAATCACACAGTCTTGCAAATCAGTACAGTCTTGGGTAAAGGCATAAGGTTCATGTCATCCATTGCATGGCAGCCAGACATTAAAAAACAAAATGCCATTACCATAATTATTTTTCCTCTCTTGCCAACAGTAATGCCCGAGTTCCTGAAACCTGAGTTAACTGCTACTGAGTGCTGTGCAGAAAGAGAAAGAATAATTAACAATCTCCTGGACAACAAACTATTTAGCAGCTTTTATAATAAAAACTAAAATGACTTGTCAATGAACAGTACAGCAAATGTACAGAAAATAAAGAGGCAAGTTTACATTTTAAACGATCAAAAAGTGGAGAGTACAGGGGAAAAACATACAAGGCAAAAGCATGTGAAACAATGACAAAATAACACTTCAATAAGAAGATAAAATAACTAAAGATAATTTAGACTGTTTACCTACCCAACTCCTTTTCTAGCTCAGTTCTTCTGTTAATTGAACTAACAAGTTAGTTGACGGAAAAGTTCTTTTTCCCGCAAAAGTCTTGAAATGTTAAGTTGACTTTACAAAACACAATATGTAACAACTGACCCTCCAAATTGTTTTAAGAACTGCTAACTGAAATGTAGCTAAAATTAAGATCTCAATTATAAAAGTGAGAGCTCAGCAGGATGCAAAATGACATCTGCGGGAAACCCTCAATTTAGGATAACATAACCACAGAAGAATGAGAATGTTACAACTAATAAAACTCTTCAGTCTCCATTACTGTATTTTTCTGTGCATTAGAGGTTTGTGTCCCAGATCCTGAAAAGCCTTACATGACCAAAGAGCAGAGATCTGGAAGTTACACTGATATCCTCCCAAAGCAACTGATTTTTTTTTTACAGAAACTGCTAATATTACAGAACCAAAACACTTACACGTCTGTCCAGTAACTCTTTAACGAGCATCCTGAAGGAGTTAAGATGTTCACAAGCTCCCCAGCTGTGTCGTTGAAGCCGATACCCTGGTTTATTTAGAAGAGATGGCTGGATGAGATCTTGGGATCAACTACTACCTCCCAAATGGGTTGAATGGCCTCTTCTCCTTTGTAACCTTTCTTATGTTCAAGTAACAATCATCATGCTAATAGTAGGTGTTCTCATTAGAAAAAAGCAAGGTGTTGGCACTGTGTTAAAACGTTACAGGAATATGGTCCTACGGCTCCCCTGGACCAGGGTTGAGCAGCGTTTGTCATACAAGGAATACTCCTTTTTTTAAATCGTCATGGACTTACCAGGAGCTGAGCGTCTCCCAACCGCCTGCACTGCACATGAAGCACGAACGGCTCAAATTTGAACACGGCATCGGCACCAGCCTTCTCCAGCCCCGACACCTGTGCAACACAGCACGACACGTTACTGCACAGGTGTCGGCGTCGTATGCAAATTCACTCCCCCCTCACTGGAGGTGTGTGTGTGATTTGGAAACCTTTCCCCTCTTCAGCTGGATTGCGTGATTGTTAGGATTTATATGTAACAAAAAAGAAAGATGCACGCTGTCTTTTGCGCGCTTTCTCTCGGGTTCCCCTGTCTTGTGTAAAGATAACTTGAACTTTCATTCACGTAGTGAAAGGTAAAATATTTCAGACGAGTGGAATGCCCTGCAAACGCATTCAATACCCCCGGGATACCCGTTCTTATCGTAATGACCGAAGGCAGGAACAACACCGGTGCAATAAGGTTATACAATAATCACCAGGAACGCTGGAGACATACCAAATCTTCCTTCCGACATTTCTGATGGGTGGCAAAGAGCCAGGAACAGTTTCTTTTCTGCACTTCGGGACTGTCGGAGACCTGGGGGAGCGACAGACAGCTGCTTAAAGTCATTGCAACATCACGGGTGTTTGGTGCATGAATGGACTTGCGCGTAGAGAAACATTTCTGAAAACCCGTTTGAAACCCGAAACGCGAAACAGGCGTTCTGACAAACGGGTCTTATTATAGCGAACGAATAGCAAAATGAAAGCCCTGACCATCGTACAGACGACCGTTTTAGGAAGTGGGACTGCCCCCCGAATAATAAAATCTCACCCCGTCGATCAGAATGAGTCTCCCGGAACAGGAGCTGGTGGTGAAATAATCCGGGTATTCGTTTAAAAACCCCACAACTTGAGCGATGCCCTCGTCGACACTCCCCTTCTTACTGTAGTCCACCTTGCTCAGACACTGTTTTTTCCATTGCGAGAATGTCTTTTCGGTATCCATCCTGCCTATAAGGGGATGCTCTATGAGATGTTAAACATTACGCACAGAAAGTTTGCTGGGCTGGACGGCTTCATGGGGGGCGCCATGTTGTGAGAGAATCACGCCAGCACGTTTCTACGGTGGCCCGACAGGTCCAAACCGGGACGTTATACGTCACCCAGATTGTTTAATGGTTAATCCTTATGTGTAATATGTACTGTGTACATAAAGGAAGCTTCTTGCACCATCTGCGGGTCACAGCAGAGATAGAAATACTGTATAGAAACTAAAGTGCTCTGGTGAGTTACTGAGGTATCGAAACAAAAACAGATTTTAAATTTCCAAGGCATTTTAAGCAACGTCTTCGCTGAAAAAATGCAATAGCCAAGTCGCCGGCTGTTTATAGATTTAATTCGCCCCCACTGCCAAAGGTGGTTTAGTGGCGTGGAACGGACATGTCAACAATTTTTTTCGCTTGTTTTGCAGTTTTTCACCATGTTACCCGTTTTGATTTTGTTTCATAGACGTACTGTCTGTATGCAATTTTAAAAAGTGCTCACAGTCTTTTCGTTTTGCAGTAATTGCGCAGCTGCGACACCGATGTTGCAAACTAGTTGGGAATGAGCTGTTGCAGGAGTTATTTTCCATGGGGATAATGGCTGTCCTGACAGCCCCAACATAAAACGCTGGGATCGCTCTCGTTTTTCAAGCACAACACGAGGAGCCCACCGATGTCAGGAATGTCGCATACCTTTTGATATAGTTTGCGAGATTCCTGGCAGCTCGAGTTGAAACTTTAATTGTCGGTCATCAAACACGAGCGCACTCAGATTCATTTTTTTTTTGTATTTGTTTTGTGCCTAGCGATGAAATGGCGACATCAAAGATCATGCGAGCCATCAGAGTATCCGAATTTGGAGGACCCTCGGTCCTGAAATTATATACCGACATTCCCGTGCCAGTCCCAGGACACAAACAGGTAACACGAGGGATTCTGCATTTTCAACCTGTCGGGTTCAACAGGTTGTTTTGGCTGCGTGGAGTAAGACACAGGCAAATGCGTTATGCTGATGTGTAGGATACTTGCTGTAGATATCAAATATTAAAACGTCTTCTAAAGTGAGTGTTACCCTAAAGAACTATGAGGGCAAAAGTAAAAAAAAAATGTGTGTTATTTTTAACGGTGTTAATGCGAGAGCTCAGTAGGTTGGAAAATGACGGCTGAGGGGATCCCCAGGACTGGGACTGAACCTAGGAACCCCCAATTTAGATGATCATAACTACAAAAGAATGAGAATACTACAACTAATAAAACTCTTCAGTCTCCATTACTGTATTTTTCCGTGCATTAGAGGTTTGTGTCCCAGACCCTGAAAAGCCTTACATGGCCAAAAAGCAGAGATCTAGAAGTTATGCTAATATTCTTCTATAGCAACTTAATTAAATGATGCCGTTTAGAGCTCAGCTGGAATGTAGGTAACAGCTCTGTAGGCGTTAGAGTTATTCACTCACTCAGAGAGAGGTCTGCATGGTTGTTGCAGCACCAGGTTGCAGATATGTACAGGCCACAGCAGAAAAGCAGGTGAAGATGTGCACTGTCCCACTGACATGACATAAGGGCCTAAGGGTGTACAATGACATGCTGGGAGATGGCACAATAAAGATTAATTGTAGAGTTCCAGAATAAACAGAGAACTCCGTTCTTTTCCATTCCCGCAGGTGTTAATCCGGGTGCGTGCTTGTGGGGTGAACCCAGTGGAAACATACATCCGGTCCGGGGCCTACACTAGAAAACCAAGCCTTCCTTACACTCCGGGCACGGATGTGTCTGGAATCGTGGAAGCTGTCGGAGACGGCGTGACATCTTTCAAGGTGGACCGAAAGTATTTAACGGGCACGGTGTGGGGTAGGATTAGTATCTGTTGTTGGAGAAGAATGGCTTTTGTTGGAGGCCAAAAGATATTTATGGGGTACTTTCTGAAATTGAAACATAACACTCTTTGAGTGTGGGTAACCTACTGAACACAATGCGTTGAGTAAGGTCATTCTATACTTCAGAGAGCTCAAATGTCCGGCTAATTGGGTTTCAAAATAATTAGGAGAACGCACCGCCAAGGGTAGTGTGATGTTGACCCATGGAATTATATTGAATTTTTTTGCACAGTCATGACTCCATTTACTTTTAATTTATTTAACCACTGTTTCAGCAATTAACACGCCTTTGTCATGGTATATGACTGCTTTGGGCTCTGGGAAATCTGGTCGAGAAAGACCCCCTGCAATATTGAAAATACTTCTCTTTTTGTTTTGTTTTTCTAAAGTTTGCCTGCGAACTGTTCCCGGGAATACAGATTTGCTCTGCATGTGTTGAACTTGAACTTGAACTTTATTGCCATATGTGGCTGGTACATTCATGGCGTTCACGGGATCATTCGTCTTGATCCCCCGCAGGCTGGGGACCGCGTCTTCACCACTGGCACGGATTCTGGCGGCTACGCCGAGTACACAGTGGCGCTGGAGGACTCCGTTCACCGGCTGCCGGAGAATCTGGACTACAAACAAGGAGCTGCCGTCGGAATTCCCTACTTCACGGCGTACCGAGCGCTCTTTCGCAAGTGAGAGGTGGCAGCGGGCCGGGGCAGACGCGGCACGCCGTGGCGGGAAGTGTGCAGGGCCCTGTTCTGGAAGGGTCCGGCGATGCAGGGGGAATGCTCCTGCTCGAAGGACGAATTATCGCTGCTGTGGGTCAGGCAGCTTAGGCCTCTTCAGAACCACAACGGCTCCAGGAACACTTTTATTCTCTTGGTTATATTATAAAGACAGATTCGTTTTCTTAATTGGTGGTATACGTTGATGTGATTGGGAATAAAAAGGGACTTAGCCTCAATTGCAGGCTGGGGTACCTTCAGCGTGGAGTTTGGGAACTGGGAAAATGCAGCTTCCTGATGATGGAGGGATGGAATAAGTTGTGTGTGTTTTTTGTGTACTTTACAGGGCCCATGCCAGAGCTGGAGAGAGTGTTCTCGTTCATGGAGCAAGTGGAGGGGTAAGCCAACAAGTGTGGCAGAGGGGCAGAACTGAAACAACAGTACCGTGCCTCGGGCCACATACTGTATTTACACTGGTGAAAGCCCCCTGCCTCTTGGTTTACCGTGTTAACTATTCTGAACGAGGTGAAACTTTGATGCCGTTATCTGCAGTTTGCTCATTTACTTATGTCCCGTGTCACAGCGTCAGTAGTTTCACTCCTGCTTTCACCTCTGAAGTGAACCTTTCCCTGGGTTGTGGCCCTGTGGTCCAGGTTGGTGTGGCAGCCTGCCAGATCGCTCGAGCCTTTGGGATGAAGGTGCTGGGTACCGCAGGGACTCCAGAGGGTCAGGCTCTGGTCTTGAGGTGCGGAGCCCATCATGTCTTCAACCACAGAGAAAAGGACTACCTCGACAAGATCAAGGTAGCCGCCTGACTCCCCATCCAGCTCCGACGCCTTGGTGCTCCAGGATTCCTAACCGTAGCCCGCTGCTGTCTGACCCTCTTTCCCGAGCTGTGTGTAATTTTGTTAACGGCTGATTGGCAAATCCGGGTGGCACCTGGTCAGTCTGCCCGCGTGTGTGAACTGTCAAGTCGCCTCTGTTGTCCAGGGTGCCACCGGTGGACGGGGGGTGGACGTGGTCATCGAAATGCTGTCCAATGTGAATCTGAGCAAAGACCTGCAGCTGCTGTGCCCTGGAGGGAGAGTGGCAGTGAGTACTGACCTTTGCAGAGCGAAACAGAAGCACCAGAAGGCCCTGCATTGTGCCCCCTGCTGTGTCTTAATGGCACTGTGTCTTTCAGATTGTGGGCTGCAGAGGATCTGTTGAAATAAACCCACGGGACACAATGACCAAAGAATCCAGCATCATTGGTGTGAGCTTGTTCAGTGCAACAAGGGTAAGGCATGATTAATATTATATCCAGCAGTGTGATATTACAGCTCAGGAGAAGCCCCACCTCCAGTGCAGTCCTGTAAGGTTAAGTGCTGATGAATAATCATGCTTTGTCCAGATCCTCGAACCCTCGACTGCAGCTGATGTCTGTGCTTGTGCGCAGGAGGAGAAGACCGAAAGCGCTTCCGCCCTCTTGGCCGGGTTGGAAGCAGGGTGGTTGAAGCCGGTGACCGGTCCGGAGTACGCTCTGGAGAAGGCCTCTCAAGCCCACGAGGACATCATCAACAGCACAGGAGCGACGGGGAAGGTGGTCCTGATCGTGTGAGCCGTCTCTCAGGGATGCGGACACCACACGCCGGTGCTGGACGTCCCGGGCTCGTTAATTGGACCATCTCCGGCCTCTGTGTTGAATTGGACTTCATTGACTTTCACCATCAAGGGATTTGCAGAGCTTGCAATAAAGAGGGCATTAAAATAAAGCCTTATTCTGCTTCTTTGTTCAGGAGATCGTGTGCAAATATTTTTTATCCGCAGGCCTGTTGAGTGCTTCATTGCGCACTTACTTCGAAACTTCAGAGTGTGCATTAAACTTAAGCGAGCACGTTTCCTCGCATCCTAAGCCTGGAAACGACACTTGAAATTCCCAAACGTTTTGTCTACTTAGAAGCATTTGTCAGCATCACCATTTTATAAATAAAACCCTTCGCATTGGTATGAGATCAGATTGATGAGGAGACGTGGAAAAGTGGCTGCAATCTGTCGTCAATCACTTCAGAGAAGCGTTGAATCACACCAGGATAAAACGGAGTGAAAGTGTTCTCACTGGCAGGAGGTTGAGAGGCATCCGCAAACATCCAATCGGCTGCCGGCGTGGTAGAGAAGGCGGGGTTTATGTTGAAAGGGGAGAATGCCATTGGGTAGTTCCCTCGCAGTCCCGCCTCTTCGAAAGCATCGTTACGTGGTTTTCCTTAGCAACGGGGGATGTCATCAGTTCTGAAAAGGGAAAAAAGTGCTTGGATGCGAGCTGTTAGTGCAGACGAGAGAGCCTGATGGCGTGAGAGGAGATCAGGAAAGATAGGTATTTTAGGGAGACCATTATATGGTCTGCTCACTTGAGCATGTGCTACAGGCGATTTTAAGGCTTGTAATTAGAAAGCGGGGCAGAACCGCCTCTCCTGCTCCCACGAATTAAAGGGAACCACCTGCCGAAATCATGAGTCACCTCAACCCTGGGTAAGATGGCAATACTGAGTTCTGCAATAGTTTGGTGGGGGCGGCTCGTAGTCAGTTAAACATGGTGTGCTGCCGTCATTGCTTTCAAATGAGTTCAATATGAGATATGTGAGGTCGATTATCATATTAACATTGATATGATGTCTCTGGGTTTATGGGTGATGAGGATGAACGTGCATGAGCTTTCGGTTTTTTTCTGGTAACCACCGGAGAGGACGGGGGTTGCATGGCGTGTTAATTGGGGTGTCCTGATGCACAGCTAAGGGAATTCTGTCATGCAAGCGCCCTGATTTAACTGCGAGCTTTTGCAATGCAAGACGATAAAAAAAAGGTCCCTGAATTGTAATAAGTACCCGATTGTTCTATTCAGAATTTGCACAAGTATCGAGATAAGTATTAGCACAGATTTGAAGGTAATGGAGCAAATAGGATTAATGTTTTGAAATAACGTCTCTTTTAATTACTGTACATATTATTGTTAGTTCTCATATTCAGGCGAATATTTAACTTACTAATTGTATGAGTGGGGGAACTGTCAGCAGGCGAGCAGCAAAACTCGTTTAAATAAATAACTACAAAGACGAAAAATACAACGTTTCGTCGTTTTGATGGTCTGATGTTCTCTTTGGAAACTGTTTCTTATATATCAAAGTGTCGCATATGCTTTGTCGACGTTTTGTGATTTCAGTACTTTATGTGAAGAAGGCTTAAGTATTAAGGTGGATAGGACAGGCTGACTCCAACAATCATTTATAATGCCTTCGATGAAAACCGTTTATTATATAAAGTTACTTGGAATGTATAGTCAATCCTAAAAGGATTTCCCCTAAGGGTTGTATTTTGGAACTATGAGACCAAGTGACTTGAATATACAGCATGTTTTTAGACCAGCACCTTCTTGTTTAGGTGAAACATAAAATACTTCATGCATTTTTTTATCTATCACAGATAATTGAGAAAAACACTTTAAAAATCTTAACATTTGAGAATCATGTTTTTTTTTTGCATCAACCATTATCTGCTTGGTAACGTTATGGTTTAACTATTTCTTTAAGCTCGAAAAGCTCCAATAACTACCCCCTTCCCCACCCCATCCCCTGAACCCTTGTTCTTTGTGGTACTTTTGCTCTCCATCTCTCTTGTGAATTTAATTTGAAATGTTTTGTTCCTGTTTGATGTGCACAGGAAGGGAAATGAAGATATAAAACACACCGGGCACCTGGGTTAAATGTCCTTTCCATCTTCACCAATACCGAACAAGTTATCTGATACAGTAATCGTATACTTGACATAATTGTTCTGGAGATCCTGTTGTCTGCACTACAACTGCGGGGCTCAGGGAGGGAGTCTGAAACGATAACTCACCGAAGATCTCTGCCCTGTATTGTAGACTAGCTGCAAATACACAGTGTTTTCGTTGCCAAGTTACACAACCAGCAGTCGTAAAACCTGGAACAATAACCTCAACAGCAGGCTGAAAAGATGAGCAAAAAAAACAAGGGTTTCTCAGGGTAAGGCATCAAGAGGAAGGAAGGGCAAGTATTAATCTGTGTTTTTCCCCTGTTGTTTCCAGGCCGGTTCACACTTACATGAGCCACAGAGTTCTCTCTGGCGGAGTTTTAAAAATCAGCAGACAACACCAAGCAAAGCAATCGCATTTGAGGGGGAATATAAAAAGTGTTTTACGTGTATGTTTAGAAAGACACCACTTTAGATCAGGTCAAGTTATGAACAGCACACCACAAAATAAAGTGAATTACAGAATGGAAGTTAGATGCTTTTTCTACTCATTATTCAAATACTGAATATTTTGTGTTTGATATAAAAAAACCTTTAGAACTATTACATTTTAAAACTACCTAGTGCAACATTGTTTCTTTACAGGGAATATTTTTGTAGTTGTCAATGGCTCTTACTGTGTTTCTGTGTATCCCACAGAGAAAGGTCACACACCATGAACGTATGCTAAAAGATTACAGTATTTGACAGTGGCAGAGCTTAAAGTTGTTCTAAAGGACACCAGGAATATATTCAGATTAGGTTTCTCAGGTCAACAACACAAGCACCGTTATACAGTAAATTGTCCCCCAGAAGTAATGGGACAGATAAATGTGTTATACGGTCACCACCTCTGGAACTGGCTCACAAATCTTTGTTCATTG